AAATGCATTTTTTTAGGTTCAAAAAAGGCCGACGTTTATTGGCAAATGAATACCTTAGTCGCGACTCTTAATTTTGGCGTTACAACATACAGGGTGTTCCATTGAAAATAGTGGAGAATTTCGATGGTGAAAAAGGACATTTTTTTTACTCGCCCTCTATAGGTGTGAAAAAAATTTGCAACTATAACCGAAAAAAAAAACTTTAGGCCAAGAAAAGTCGTATGGCGTAAATCGCAGGTAGCTAGCACACCTGGTTTAAAAGTTATAAGCATTTAAAATCGGTCACTTTCTATTGGGACACCCTGTATTGAAAAATATTTGCAGAAATTAACCTCTCGTGGAGTGGGCTCAGAAATTGACAGTCTTTTGACTAAATTTGAGAACAACCAGACTTACTTGGTTCATCTATACTGAATCGTGTTGACAAAATCCCAGTGAATAGAGGTTGTCTGCTGAAGAAACCGATCGTCGCTCGGGCTGATGATAGCCGTCCTCAATGCTCTAGATTCATTGGAAAGAACCTCCAAGGACGATCCTAACTTCAGTAGAATTATCTCGAATTCTGACTAAATTTTCAGATGTAGACGCAGATCAAAGTAGTTTCTCTCGCTCATTGACTAAGATGGCATTGGCTGCACAAACAACGTGTAGATAAATGGGGCAAAAAGTTCACAGGAGAAGCCAAACAATTATCAGTCCATAATTTCCTGGAAAGGGTGTTTGAATTGAGAGTTGCACGCAATGTGTCAGAAAGGAAACTTTTCGAGTCACCGAATAACCTCTTCGGTGGGAAAACATAAAATTGGTACCGAGCTAATAGATCCAGATTCAGTGACTGGAAAAGTTTGTTGGAGTTATTGATGCGTCATTTTGAACCACTGGATTACCGGTCAAGGTTATTCAAAGAGATTTTAGAGCGGACGCAGGGCTCGTCGGAATCCATAGTTGACTACCTGTCATGCATGCAGGCACTTTTTAGACGATATGGTAGTATGTGACGTTCAACTAGATATCGTTACGCGTAACCTAGCACCATTTGCCTGAAGCTGGAAACTAAAAAGTACCGCCGGGCGGAGCACTATGTGCCTCCTTCCAGGAAGAAGAATCAGTTCGTCGCACCGGACTTTGCTTTTGTTTTGGTGCAGAATAATCCAACCTTAAATAGTGCCATGAATAAATGTGATATTGACGCGATTGATTAGGATAGACGACCGCAAACACCTCGACAATTGTTGGAACTGCCGAAAGGAGGGACACATGAACAAGGACTGTCCGAGTCCCAAAACAATACACTGTTATCGATGTAGAGCGCCAGACGACCAAGTCAACATGATATTGACCGACACCAACATCTTCGCCAATAAAATCCTCCTAGATTACATCATCGCGCACGCGCATGGCAACCAAAGGCCGTATCTACAATTGGAAGTAATGGGTTACCCTATTCTTGGCCTGTTGGACTCTGGAGCCAGTAGAACCTTGGTTGGCCTACCGGATTATGAAACCCCAAAAAGCTTGGGCCTAATTTTGCAAAAGCACGAGGTGAAATGCACCGTTGTTTGCAAATAATTAGTGTTGCTCCAGTATCGGATATGTTCAGGCTCCTGTAACCCTGATGAAAAAAACTCGCATCTTTGACATCTTAGTCATACCAGAACTCTCTCACGGACTAATACTTGGAATAGATTTCTGGAGGATCATGAAGATAGTACCTGATCTTATACAAGACGTTTGGCATTTTTCTGAAACACCTGAGATTGCCCAGTTTTATGGGGTCCAAGACGAAGATAGCTTGACAGAGTCTGAACGAAACTTATTGAACCAATTGGTCACAGAATAAAACAGCTTTAATGGGCACGAGCCTTGGATGCTGTAGACTCGACGAGATTGAAATTGTTCCAGAAGTTAAACCGATAAAACAACGATATTATCCAGTTTCTCTGTTCAAGCAGAAATTTATAGTCCCAGGAATGCTGAGGCTATAAATTATAGGACCATCCAAAAGTCCATGGTCAAGTCCGGTATGTGTAGCTCGAAAAAAAGACGGATCATTCAGATTTTGCATTGATTTCCGTCAACTCAACAAGGTTTCGAAAAAACATGCATACCCCATCCCCTACATTTCTGCCATTTTGGATATGCTCAGGAATCCCCGTTACATTAGCTCCGTCGATATTAAATCTGCATTTTTACAGGTTCCCTTGAATAAGTCGTCTCGCGAATATACTGCTTTCACAGTATCTGGTCGTGGTCTCTTTCAATTTTTTCGTATGCCCTTTAGGTTATCGAATGCTCCCGCAACGTGGCAGCGCATCGTCGATCCTGGGTCCTGAGTTAGAACCTTCTGTTATGGTGTATCTTGATGACATTATCATCGTCTCTCCAACATTTTCAGAATACTTAAAAATCCTAGACACCGTCTTCGATCGTCTGCAGGACGCAGGTCTTGTTATTTCGCTAGATACCTAAGTGTCAATTTTGTAAGCCATTTCTGAAGTACCTTGGGTATGTTGTTGACTCCAAAGGTTTAAGGCCAGACCCAGATAAAGTGGAAGCCGGTGTAAATATACCACCTCCCACCAATGCTACTGAAATTTGTCCCTTTGTTGACACCGCCTCGTGGTATAGGCGATTTTTCGTCATTGCTTGCTCCCCTTTTATCATTAACCAAAAATAATTCCAAATGGTTGTGGACACCTGCGTGTCGGAAATCATTTACCCATCTAAATGAGTGTTTTTATTACTGCTCCAGTGGTATGTGTCCAGTTCTCACTTGCTCTGATTTTGAACGCACCTTCGTTTTGTAAACGGATACATCAAATTATGACCTTGACGCTGTACTAACCCAAGAGTTCGATGAAGGAGAAAAAGTAATTTGCTATCTTTCCAGATCTCTGAGTGATTAGGAAATGAAGTTAACAGTGATTGAAAGGGAATGCCTTGCTGTAATATGGAGTATAGAGGAGGGTGTCTACTTTAAGGTGATTACAGATCATTATTCTCTTCTTTGGCTGCATCGCCTGAAAGATCCCCAGGGAGGCATGGCTCGTTGGCATTTGAGACTTTAACCTTATGATTTTCAACTAATTCACCGTGAAGGCAAGGACCATAGTGCCAGATATATTAAGTAGATCAGTTCCAGTTCCTACCGATTCTGTCCAGATTTGTGAAGAAGGACACCTTCCCCCCTTTACAAACACCACCGATAACGGTAACAATGTCAATCAAAATCCGCATAAAATTCCTAACTGGAGAGTGGAAAACGACGTTCTTTACAAGTACTTGAAATATAATCATCCTCTCCACTCCTACAAGTAATTGGAAAATGGTAGTTCCAAAAAACAAGCGTAGAGAGGTGCTCAAGATTTGTCATGATATTGCTGCTGATGGACACGTGGGCGTTTATAAAAACACTGCTGAAATACTTCAGAACTATTTCTGGCCTAAAATTAAGAGTGATGTTGCAAAGTACGTGAAATCTTGTACAACTTGTGCACGGAATAAAGTGGAGCAAAAATTACCAGCTGGACTTATGAGGACTCGCTCAATAATTTTGAACCCTGGCAAACTATTAGTTTGGACTACATAGAACCATTTCCTAAATCCCGAAAAAGTAACACTCATGGTGCAGTTCGTTGAAGATGGCATATTTCTCAATTATGGAGTACCCGATAACTTAATGTGCGACAACGGAGTCCAAATGAAATCCAAGGAATTTCAAGCGTTGTGTGCAAAGTATAACACCAACATAGTATCTCTCGACAATAATGGAACACTTCCCACCTCAGTATGTAATATATTAATTCCACCCTGATTAACACAATATTACGAACCTATCACAATAACGTTACTGATGAAAATGAGTTTTCCTACGACCACATACGAAAATGACAAAATCCGCACTAGCTGGTTCTTTGGAAAGCACGAAATATCAGACACGTGCTGAAAGTACTTCCAATACGCTTGCTAAAAGTACTTTCAGCACACGTGTGGAAAATACTGTTGACATTATTTGTGATTGACATCACAATTTACTTTCAATACGTGGATTGAAAGTACTTTCAGCACGTGTGTTGAAAATGAAAAGAAATAAAATAAAAGAAAATTGGTTTAAATCGGATTCTGATCGTAGGAAAAATGGTGTACATCACTTGTAACAAAGCGTCTTTCATACACTCGTGTGAAATTTGTCACTTTCTACACTCGTAATGTAATATACTAATAAAACACAGATTATTTTTATTATTATTTTCTTTTTGCCAAAACAAAAAAGGCAAGGCCTTACACTTTGCTCCAAATCGATAAAAACCATAGATGAGAGATGAGAGGCGTCTTGGAATCTGATGACGCCAAGAATCAATATCCATAAATATTTTCTCGAAGACATAATTTTTTTTTTATGGGCTCACGTTTCACTCATTATTCTTATTGATAACGGGGCTGGTTATCAATTCGGGCCAAAAAAAGGTCACCACATTGACGTCATATCAGCAATCAGCACTATACATATAAATCGCTAGACCATCAGGAACCTGCGTGATTTTCATGGACCCGTCTTTGGAATTTCAATGTTTTTGTTCGAGGACCCTTAATGCAATATTATCGTCGAAAAAAAATTGTTTGGCAACAATTATCGTTAATTATTATTTGTGATAGCGGAAAGTCGATTGAAGAGAGCGGCACCGATAGGTACCAAATTTTAAAATTTGTCTCACTCTGTTGCCCTACAATAATTTACAATATATAAAAATATCGAAAAACATATTGACCAAAAGCCATTTAAGCGAACTACTGATAACTTTTGCTGACCCCCATAAGAAAGTCGACTTTGTCCATTAAAGACGCGATCTCCTTACGTTGTTTATCCAGTATTGTGAGAAATATTGGACTTGATAGTACAATTTTTTTAAATTTTTTTTCACTATGAGTATTTAGCTTTAATATTGAAATTTATTTTTAAAAAATGAGGGGGAAAAACTCAAAAAAAGTTCATTCTACAGATGTGGTCTCCTCGACTGGGAGTATGATAGTCATCTCTAACAGGTTGCCGTTTGTACTGCAAAGGAACAAGGATGGACAACTTGTGAGGAAAGCCAGGTGAGTTAATATTTATCATTGTTATCATCAAAATTTAATTGCTCAATAATATTATCACAATAAGAAATAATGCTTATTAATAAACTCAAAATGATCCATGGTTTAATAGAGGTGCCATGAAAATGTATATGTTAGGCCATAATAATAATTAAATTGCGTACTAGTGCTAATGTTGTTTACTCGTATAATTTGACCTTTTACTCCTACATTGATACTTGATAAAATTATTATTATAGTGCTATTTTTGTCGTTAACAAAAATTGACAACATTATTTAATTCTCGTTTTTTTCCCAATTGAATTGAGGCTTGATCAACTATCAGCGGTTTATATGCATTTCTTGATTCTTTTGCTATTTTCTTTACCGCAGATTTTTGTTTCCTATTTCTGTTCTACATTTTGTCACCCCTTTTTGTCTGCCTACTACAGCTGAATATTCTTGAAAATCCTTCAAAATCCTTAGAGAAACTTTTATGGGTAAGATGGTTAGATTACTCCAGAGCAAAGAACTCAGTTATATTGACGCTTTTTTTACCCTGTGTTACTGCGTTATTAGGCCTATGATGTATCCTGTCCTGTTATTTCAACAGCTCTGTTAAGGCTCAACATCTATTTGCGTCTCTATTTTGTCGTATAGAATAAACAGTGACAGATAACTTAACGTTACTGTTAAAATAACAGAAAATGATACATCATAGGCCTGATTATCTCGTTCTGATGTTTTTTCTGTTAATATCAAGTTTCCCAAGTATTTATACTTCTCACACTATTTCAGATCTCTTAAGCTAAGATGCAAAGATATTATTTTGTCTTGCTTTAGATTCCTTTCATTCCACACTGTGTTCATATCTGTCCTTGAGTTTTCTATACATTCATGTAATCTAGGTCCTATTCGCAACTAGCAATTAATACCTAATCTTCTACAAGTGCCTCGTCCTCTACGAACGTTGATAATTACCAACGCTATCTGTTCTTTGTCGACTGCCTTTCTGATAACGACTTGTCGTGGTTTCCATGCCAGCACCGCAAATTCTTTAGCCAAAATCCTCTACCGCCGAGAAGACGATGATAGTGAGGTTTGGGCCTATGAATCAAACTCCTTGATAAAAAAATACGTCGACGTTTCGGCATTCTTTTTTTCATGTTTAATTTTATTTTATATTTTGATACCTGTAGTTTGATTAATTTTTTTGTTTTTATGCTTTTTAATGTTGAATGTTTCAAGAAAGTTGTAATTTGTTAATTTTTCTTTTAATTGCTATTGTAGTTCAAAGCGATATTTCAAGACACAGAGAGGAAAAAACTAATGTGTATTTCCTTTACTTTCAGCCCTGAAGAAGACCTAATATAAGCTGGAAACGTCGGTGAATTTTTAGTTTGATTCATAGTCCTGAACCTGACTATTATCACCCACTAAAATGTTTATTCCTGGCTGTTAAATTCATGATTTTTTTTGATCATACAACAGTAAGATTGCCCAAGAGTTTCCCTGATAAGCTCAAATTATAAAGATTTTTGAAGATTGCGTTTGCGTTAAATCAAGAAATTGACTGAACTTCTTAGGATTTCCCGCGAGATTCTTAAGATTTCCCTTGATTTCCTCATAATTTCCTTATTCTTTCCCCTGATTGCCTTAGAATTCCTCTTGATTTCTCCTAATTTGTATGGGGCAGTTATTGTACACCAGATAAGTTTACACTTGTCTAACAATGTTTTTCCAATTTGCTTAAAATTTATCCTTTGATTTTTCAGTTTCTTTGTTTAAATATTTGTCTATTCCTGGCTCTTGAATTCCTGTTTTCTTCTAACCTGTTTCCAATGGAGAAAATTTAAAATATAGAGAAATACGAGGGGTAAACTGCAAGTCAGTTTTTGTACACCAAATTCTAATTTAGGGGAAATCATGGATGATTTTCCATGATTTCTTTTGATTACCAGTGAGATTTCCAAGAGTTCCCCTGATAACATGTCCTCAAGTTATAAAGATTTGTGAAAATTGCCTGCCCATGCGTTGCATGATTTCCTTGAGATTTCCGTCGAGATCCTTGAGATTTCTCTTAATTTCGTCATTATTTCCGTATGATTTCCCCTCCCAGATAACACAGAGGGATCCATAAGACATCCATTGGTTGTCCACTGGACGGCCAAGCAAAAATACTAGGAAGTCCGATGGACATCCAGATTAAGTTCAGTGGATGTCTCATGGACATCCTCTGGCTATCCAGTTGGCACAGCTCTGGATCATTCCTGGATGTCCAGATCATAGCCATGGGGTACCGCTTAAATATCCATTTATGGATGTCCACGAGGCATCCACTGGACTACTTTTGGACATCCTATGGATGACCATGTCCAGCAGTTTTTAGGCCATTTATGGAATATTTTGGATACTTTATGGATGTTCTAGCGGCATCCATTTTTTCTGCCATTCATGGAATACTCCTGGACATAATATGGTTGTCCATAAAGCATCCATTTATGGACATGAGCTGGAAATCAAATTTCAAAAAAATTGCTGTTAAACAAACTTTATTGGATCATTTTATTACTTACACCTAAAAACATTATTTACATAAAATAAGTTTGTGTCATTATTCTGCGGTTTATTTAGGAAAAGGAAAATTATTTAGTATATTCTCAGAATTAAAAATAAAAAATATATTATTAAGTGAGCTGTGCATCGAAATTATTACTGAAACTATAGTTTTTCAATTTTTAATTCTGCGAAAAAGCTTAATAATATCCTTTTCCTAAACTAAACCGCAGAAACAAACTTTCAAAAAATATTATTTTTTATATTAGACAAAAAAAACAGTTATTCTTGGCAAATTAACATTAACATAAAATTATTAAATAACATAAATCATATACGGTCGAAAATACTGGACGGACAAAAAGTGACACTTCAGTCCCTGTCATGAGGGAGTGAAATTGTCGCTTTAGTCCCGGAAGTACGAAAAAAATATATATTTTTTTTTAACAATAAAAAAAAACGACTATTCTTATAGGAACTACTAAAATATCAATAAAAAAATATTGTTTTTTGTCAAACAAAACAAGTTTTACTCTCAAAGGAACCCAACAAACCAAAATAAAAACGAAGATAGCAGACAAGTGTTCACTTCCTTTCTTTTGCTCTACGCATCCAATTTTTGATACTAGTTTCAATGTCCTTTCTAGAAGAATCCTTAAACTTTTTGAAAACAGCATCTGGAACAATAAATTATAAAATAACTATAACTATTTAGACTGATAAATGCAAATAATATACCCTCAACGACTTGCATTAATAAATAGACGTAAAAGCTTAAAATGCTAGACATTAAATTTGCATTTTACGCCCTTAGTACAAAAAATAGTTACTATTTTTTGTATAACTAAGTACCTTTTATTTTAAAATCGAGTAAGACAGTCAGCAGTTTTTAAATTCTAAAAAATGGTTTAAAACTATTGTATGATATACTACTTACCAAACAACACACTGCATAGTTTTAGTTCTGAAAAATTTTTTTTCCCTTTTTTTCCAAAGTAAGTATAGGTCTCCGCCAATCGGTTTGAGATGCAGAAAGACAGGCCACGTTTCACGAATTGGTTAATGTCGATCCCTCCTATCTTAACAACTTCTTTAACCTTGAATAGATAGAAGAAAAATTAAAAAATCAGTATCATGTCTGTTTGAATACGTGACTTTTAACATTTGTATTTTTATAATCTAAATAAATAGACAGAAACCATAGAAAATTGAGTTAGGAATATATAGGTACTTACAACAATTGCATAATTAACATCATTCGATAAATACTCCTCAAAACCTGTTAAATCTTCTTCGTTGCTTAAAGGAAAATTAAAATCTTTAATGAAACTTATTTTGCAAGTTTCATTTATTTCTGAAGGTTTATTATTGGTATCAATTTTTTTGAGTGTTTGATCCATTTCAACTGTATAGCCATGAATTTCTTTAATGTATTGAAATAAAATGTTTTGTTTCCGGACAAGATCTGTCAAAAGCTTTCCTGAAATTAAAAGAAACAAATTTTGATCAAAAATACTTTGCAAAATTATAAATAAAATTCAATACCCAAAAACTCTCTTACCATGCATCTTGCAGCAGCCTGATTCTGTCGCTGAAACGTCCACTCTGATTTCATTGGTATTGTCACATCGAGGGTGTTCTAAAAAATTAATAAAAGGTTAATTTTTAGCTATTAAACGTTTTCGATATTTTAACCAGAACAGAACCTCCTTGTTTGATTTCAAAACAAAATTATAAACTATACATTATAAAATGAACTTTTGTCTTAAAATTATTTTTTTAATAAAATATTAAACTCCAAGCAGTTTTGGACATACCAATTACTCGACCATTTCCTAGTGCTGATCCTAAATTCGATGTCATACTTCCTAGAGAAGACGTCGAAGACGATGACGATCCCTTCGGCGATAATATATTATTGGCATCTGAACGTGGACCTCTTGCATTAGAATTAGCCAGACGAACAGGATTTTCTAGAACAAAACAAAATAGAACGATATTTTTTCTGTGCTACAATATGTAATTACGAAGTGTCTTTATTTTCATGGTTTTATCAAAAACACTTATCAGGAGAAATATTTTCACCTTAATTATTTTTAATTTCAAAAAATTCAAGTTTTATTACCTATTGAAGTTATAAATTTAATAATAATCAATTTCTCAACATACCAACCAAAATTGGGGCCGGTGGTAATGAATTTTTTTTGGGCTTACAGCCTCTTTCCTTTTCGTCCTCACTAGTAGAAATGGGGCTGGATTCCGGCGAAAAAACTTTTTTTGTTCTCTTTTTTCTTGAGGATTTTTCATCACCAGTATCTGAACAGAGGTCCGAGAACATTTCGGCAGTCTGACATTTTTTCCTAGCCGTAAGATAATCATCTGCAAAAATATAAAAGGAAACTGCAACTAAGTGATTTATGGGATTTCAGATTACTGTGAGTTATGATCAACTCACAGAATAATAATTG